AAGGGAAATGCTTTTCTACAACTAATGTTATAACCTTATAAACGGCAAGGTCCCGCCGACAGCCATGACTTTATGCGCATTTGGATCCAGTTGCCCACCCGGACCGTTCCTAAAATTTTGGCTCCAAAGGAGTTACTTCAAGTTCAGGTATTAATCTCCTTGGAACATAAAGAAAGCCAGGTGAAACTGGTGAGCATATACCACAGCACACACGAGAAATCTGGAGGTCGCACCGATGAGCCGAACCCTTCGCAGCGGCGTCAGGTTGCAGCACACCATCGACGAAACACGCATGTCTACGCTTTAGTTGTACTATGATTTGGAAGGATTACTTAGGTGGAGTTGTAAAATTGATTGTCATTCGGCATAATCCAGCAATATGTCGGACTTGTCCGGATGCCGGCTTTTGAATGCGCTTCTTTTCAATTTCCCGAAAAACTCACACTCGGTAAATAATGACTACTTAACTAGCATGCATTTCCCGAATTGATTTTTGATGGCATTATAAGTTAATACTTTATAGAAAACATGTCCACACACATTCGGTGGCAAATCACGCGACCTTACAGTTTATTTCTGATGACATGGTATGTTTAGGTTTTAAAAAAGTTTTCCAATTACCTAATAATTTTAAATCAGAACAGTCGTTGAATTAGAATTTAGCGATTTATTTCTACAAGGCGCATGCTTTCCATGTAGGGACAATAATTTATTCCTCTATGCCTTTAAGAATGCACCATTTAGCGTTCATGAAATTTTCCGATGAGTGCGGACTACGCTGTATATTTCATAAGGAGCAATGGTAAACACACAGGTACGATGCTGTATGAACGTCCATTGCGCGTCTTAAAAATCGTATAATTAAAAACTTATTTAAAACCTAAATATGCCCTGTCTTCAAACATAGCCCTTAAAGTTGCCGTGATTTGCAACCGAATGAGTAGAAGAAAGTATATGTGTGTGCATGCTTTCTATAAAATATATTTAAACTTTTAAGACTATCGAAAATCAATGAGATGAATGCATGCTACTTACGTAGTGGGTTTCACAGGAGATCTAGCAGAAGCGCATTCAAAAGTGGACATCTTGGCACGTCTGAAATATTACTGGAGTATGCCGAATGCTAATCAGTATTATGACCACGCCAAAGTAATCCTTTCAAATCGAAAACGCATTTCAGAATCTCGGCCAACATTTCATGAGGTAGGTCACTCAATGAATCTGCGTTGTAAGTACGTAAATAATTACGCAACCTACCGATTTTGATGAAGTACGTTGACTGCCTAATCAGGATGTCATAGAAAATCAATCTTAGATCCACCAGATGGCTACCAGATGCAATAAATTGTTACGGGCTACTTAGCTGATTTAAACAATTCATGGTTAAAGGAATTGTTCAGTTCTGCCACAAGCCCTAATAAGTAACTGCGTCTGGTAGTCATCTGCTGGATTTTTGATTTATTAAATAGGAAATCCTACTTGAACTGTCAACTTACTGGATGAGAATTGAAGGACTCTATGCAGTTCAGCACGCTGGGCGGGTAATTGGATCCAAATGTGGGTAAGAGTATTGACTGCACAAAGCATTCCACTTGCTAGCACGGGTTGCCGTCGCATGGATATCATGGCTTTTTAAATTTCGGTCAAAATAAATATTCAAATCTGCCAAACGCCCAATGAAATACCGGAGTTATGATATGTGCTGCACAGTAACTTCGAGATAGGATGTTTCACTTAAACCTGACTACCTGGAAGTAATTAATTTGTTTAACCAAAGACAAAAAGACATGAAGTTAACAACGTTGCACTGGACAACTGGGAACGCTTGCATAAAACTTAACATTTTAATTCAATAACCAGAAATTGTGGCTTATATAACATTATGCTCTCTATCATAATTGTACCTTATACCGCTTGGAGGTCGCACCGGAAGGCAATATTTTTCACCAAAAGCGTGAGTTTTATGACAAACAATACATGATTTTAACCAGATATCTCGTTCTTAGTAATGTAACGGCTTAACTGAACTCAGAGGAAACCAGAACATAACCGGCTCTGCAATTCCGGAAATACATTTTAGAGATATAGGTTTCACTCCGTCGTGCGACATTACTGACTTGCGTTCTCCTCGATGGATATAGCTCATTTAAATCTACGTACGGTTAGGGCCTCATTAATACTGCCAGCGTAATTATACCTCAGCGCAAAAAGAACTAAATTCACTCATTAAACTTTTACAGCAGTTATATTTCACAGAGGCTTTTAAGCTCCTGTTAAAAAGCAACATCCTGTAGGCAAACCAACCGGCTGAAGTTTCCGGCAGTTCTGTCGTAAAAAAAGGTTTTCCGACTGCAGACCTATAAAACATGATTTAATCACGCAGTCGTTAAAAAGGACTAGAACAGCATAAGGCGTATTTTGGGTTGGTTGCAGAAGCGACATATTAGCCAACCAATAAAAGGTGCTAAGCATCAGAATCTTCATAAGAGAAATGCGGAAAAATTTGATATTTTGTAGCAACGCTAACCTATCTCCAGTTCCTAAATCATCCCATGTTAACTCTTTTTCTTGAGAATTTAATGGCATTATCATCAAAATAGATAGAAAAAAACGGAGTGTCAGAGGAACAACCTTTGCAAAGATGTGAAAAGAAAGATGTCTAAGCGCCGTAAATGATATTCCACGGTCTGAGTTTTTGAGCATTGTTAGGAGTTGGTCATAAAAAAAAACTAAAGACAAAAGCAGACAGAAAAGTCGTTGAATGGCATTAAGCCCTGACTAGGTTTTAAACACAATTTACTTACTTGGTCATTTGGAGAATAAATTTCTGCCCCTGACGTCGTATCCAACGTTAGGAAGTTCAAATTCGTGCGAACAGTTTTTTATTATCATTTCCTTACGTATTATTTGCAAACTGAGGTATGCTTACGAAGTGCAGCATGTCAGAAATACAGAATAAAATTAATTATCCTGAAACCTAACGGACACATGCGTTGTAAGCACAATGTAAAACTAAAAATCTCTATCTGCAGGCATCTGACGTCGTCGAGTATAATCGAAATACTGAATCGTGACAAAAACGCACGTAAATTTTTAAATGTAGTTGACGTCTATGAGTTCCTATCGCTAGCGTGCTCTTTGTCCTCGAATTCAGTAAAATAGTTGAATGGTTTAAAGTCCGTCTTATGTAAACCTCGACACAAAAATGACAGAGTGTAACCCTGGACACGAATTTTAACACCTTTATTTGACCCGTTAAGCATTCTTGTATCCTTGGTCCTACGCCTGCGTTTCCACAGGCATATTCCGTAATAAAGTAATAGCCAGCACTAAGCAAAATGTGAATACCATAAATTTCTCGCACTCGGAAAACCGCGATGGCGGCCCGTAATGTAGAATCCAGCTCATGGAAACAATGACGTTGAATTGGCTTCGTGTCTGCAGGAGAACTATTTCGAATTACGAAATACTACAATAACAGTTGACGCAATTTACTTTCCAGGCTAAGGGACAGGAGGGGATGACGGGTTCACAGGCAGTCAGGTGTTAGTACTAGAATCATCGGATATTTATCCAGAGACACCGTAGATTCCACTGAACATGCAGTTCGCTAGATGTGAGGTTTAGCTTGTGCAGTTTGGTCAAAACGCACTCATGAGTTTCATGTGATCGAAGTTCATCGGTAGAGGTCTATTTACGTCCTGATACCACGAATAATTATAGCGGTTGCCCGTCTTTTAGGGAGCAGAAGTCCATATCCAGCACTCGGTATACGACTAATGTGGGTCTAATGCGTATATAGCCAACGCCTTGCTGCGTATCTGAATCAGACAGCCTTCGACCTTAACGTATGTTGCCCTGTCCTCGTAGAACGAAGCAATACTTTTCGTCCTGATTCTTCCACATCATCAATCTCTGCCATCGAAAGCACCTTCTTTTGACACGCTACCTGTGAATCGCACTTGTTTAGTAATTCACCTTTTCTCAATCGCAGACTGTCCATTTCAGAGTTTCGGCGGGGCGTCTATCGCAGTCGTATACGGTCCCCAAGCAAATACTGATGCATTGTGTCTACATTGCGCGCAGTCGGCCTGTTGGCATGTTCGTTACATCGCTTAGGAATACATAGGGTTTTTTGTATAAATGATTTGAACAGCCTTAAAAATTAGAATACCTAAATGACTCCTAATGGAAATGGATGCACTTTTAATAATCGCATCGGCTGCAACGGTATCACGTCCCGTGACTTGCGGTAACGCCGTGTGACCTCGAAATACGATAGACAGCTATGACGGGCATTAACATGGATACCATATTTTAAGTCATAAAACAACAGATAACCGATAGTCCCAGTACATCAAAAGGAGACACGATCGCCGGGACAAGATCTTTATTAGCCTGACGTTTCGGATTCCTACTCGAATACATCATCAGAGACAAAAAACAGAAACGGGTGGTTGTTGCACAAGGGGCTGCGGTATTTATAGGATGCAGTAGCCATGCTACCGCATACCTGTGAACATTCACGGCTCCCCCTTTCATCCGGGATCGTCGCACTTGGAGTGATCATTGCTTGGTAGCCGACATTCGAGTCGATAATTGCTGCAATTTCATCACGTGCGTTGGATGTTGGCGTGATGATTGCTCGACCATCTGACGCATCGACCCAGGTGTTGGGAAAAGCGTTCACCTCTGCCCTTTCCGCATGGCTTGTAACTCCGCCTAGGCGAAGTTTTAGCACGGAGTATGGAATGGCAAGCTCGTTGCACTTGTTGATGGACTGGGGCCCAGTAAACCGTAATTCCAGTAGCTCCCGGCTCACGCGGTTGTTACCTCTTGCGAGAATTTCGGCCTCATCGAATTTGAATGTGTGGCCGGATCTCGTCGAATGAGCCGCAAATTGAGAGCTGGCGTTATTTCTGCGCACCGCTGCCGCGTGTTCGGCCACTCTCGTTCGGAGCTGTCTTCCGGTATCTCCGGTTGACGCCAAACCTGTTAACATGATTGCAGCTGTGGAATCAGTCCTTTGTCAGACGGAGGCAACGGAGGAGACTAAGAACCTCATCCGACACCAAGTGTCGTCTCTCCTTTTGGCCCACGGGCCGCGGGAAGTCCTTTCCAAGGTCGAACGTGATGCGCTCAGAGAACTCAAGGCCGACAAAGACCTGGTCATCGTGCCAGCGGACAAAGGACGCGCCCAAGTTGTACTGGACAGGACAGACTACCTTCAAAAAGCCAAAGGTTTACTGGAGGACCGACAGTTCTATGTCCCATGTGCAACGAACCCTTTAAAGGCGCTGACACGCGAAATCAATGCTACGTTGTTGGCCTTGGAGAACTCAGGTGCAATAACACCGACCGACAGACGCATGGCGAGACCCCAAGATACGACCTTGGCCCGATTCTATGGCCTCCCTAAGGTGCACAAAGACGGCGCTCCTCTCCCACCCATCGTGTCGCTCAAAGGGACTCCAACGTATGGACTGGCTAAGTGGCTGTTCCGGCGTTTCAAGTTCCTGACTGCTGAGTCAGACACCACGGTCTCTTCGTCAGCACAATTCCTTGAGAAACTCAAAGTGGTAAGCATCCATCCAAATGAGGTCATGGTATCTTTTGATGTTACATCCCTTTTCACTTCTATTCCCAGGACCTGGCGATCGAGACAATTGAGCTGCTACTACAAAGCAAATACGATAAAACGGAGAACCGTCTTGGACACGCCCAAATCCTTCAGCTCATGAAGCTCTGTCTCAGGACGTACTTCACGTTCAACGGGACAATCTACGAATATGTGAAGGGCACACCAATGTGTTTGCCGATTTCGGGATTCATCGCCGAGGCGGTCCTGCAACGGATAGAGTCACTGGTCTTCCAAAACCACAGACAGAAATTCTCGGCCTGGTATGTGAACGATACCTTCGTCGTCATCGGACGGGATCAGGTGTTGACATTCCAAGAACATCTCAGCGCCGTCTTCCCGGGCATTCAATTTACGATGAAGGAGGAAAAGAACAACCAGTTGGCCTTACTGGATGTCCTCGTATGCCGCAAGGATTGTGGTGGACTAAAGACCAAAATGTTCAGAAAAGCGACAAATACGATGCAAGTACTGAACTTCAAGAGTAACCACCCAATCAGCCACGAACGCAGTTGTGTAAGGACGCTCTATCGGTGTGTCGAAACGCACTGCAGTGAGCCGGAAGACAAGATTGCTGAACTACAATACCTCCGACGGGTCATTAAGCCAATAGCTACCCGCGAAACTTCGTCGACCTGTGCATACGCAAAAGGGACGAAAGGCCTTACCGCACGGACCATAAATCTTTCGGGCACTTCCGTATGTCAAGAACGTTTCGGAAGCTGTCGGCAGCATTCTCGCTCCACTTGGGGTTGGAGTGGCACACAGACCAGAGGCAACCCACAGGCGTCTGGTCATGAAACCGAATGACCCACCGCCACGACTAGAAACGTCTGGAGTCGTTTATCGGATCTGGTGCAGTTGCGGACAAAGCAACTACGTCGGAGAAACCGGAAGACAGCTCCGAACGAAAGTGGCCGAACACGCGGCAGCGGTGCGCAGAAATAACGCCAGCTCTCAATTTGCGGCTCATTCGACGAGATCCGGCCACACATTCAAATTCGATGAGGCCGAAATTCTCGCAAGAGGTAACAACCGCGTGAGCCGGGAGCTACTGGAATTACGGTTTACTGGGCCCCAGTCCATCAACAAGTGCAACGAGCTTGCCATTCCATACTCCGTGCTAAAACTTCGCCTAGGCGGAGTTACAAGCCATGCGGAAAGGGCAGAGGTGAACGCTTTTCCCAACACCTGGGTCGATGCGTCAGATGGTCGAGCAATCATCACGCCAACATTCAACGCACCTGATGAAATTGCAGCAATTATCGACTCGAATGTCGGCTACCAAGCAATGATCACACCAAGTGCGACGATCCCGGATGAAAGGGGGTGCCGTGAATGTTCATAGGTATGCGGTACCATGGCTACTGCATCCTATAAATACCGCAGACCCTTGTGCAACAACCACCGGTTTCTGTTTCTTTGTCTCTGATGATGGATTCGAGTAGGAATCCGAAACGTCAGGCTAATAAAGCGCTTGTTCGGGCGATCGTGTCTCCTTCTTCAAGGCTACTTCCTGGGACTCGTGCCTTCGCTTCTATTGGCAGTCACAGTACTTATGTTGTCAACCGACTCTTAACTCCTTTGATACATGTTTAATTCCACATTTCTATGGTTACGAAGTCTTGAAGGCAGGCATGTTCTTTGGAAAAAAATACGTTTTATGAAGTAAGTTTTCGATGTTGGTTCCCCAGGTCGTCGTCAGACTTGAGCAAATGTGCAAATGAATATTATCATTTCAAAACTGCTGATACATCTATGTTAATTTTGTGTTAACTCCAATAAGCGTCCGCCGTGTATGTCTTTCTGCAATGATTGACTCTCGTTTCCTTTATTTTTCTTCTGAGAATTTTGTGCATGATATCTAACTCAATGTACAGACGAACGCAGTACTCATCGGAGTACATGACCGCACTAGAATGTCGGTCTGTTTAGGTGGGCAAACTCCGACGATGCGAGTTTTGTCCTGGATCTAGAGTGTACATGACTGTTTGCGACAGGCGGTCTCGCCTATAAACTTTAAGTTGGCGCTCTTGGATGCGTGTACGGGCAGAGTTTTCCGTTTGGCCACAATATACGGCATCAGTGGCATTGCACGGGATCTTATGAACGACGTCCTCCCTATCCAAATAAGTGCGTAAAACAGTCGCCTGCTTTTGCGCTACATTTATTTGGTGTTCCCTCAAGTGTATGTTAATGAGTTCAGACACATTCCGATGCAAAGAAGGATTCCCAAAGTATTTATTTTAGGCGCCTGACTGGAACGATCTACTTAATTTGTTTTTAACCTTTGCTGTCTTACGCATAGACATACGAAATCTCTGGCGTATCCTTTTACGGAAAATAAACTGAACAGACAGTTTGGCTTAGCTTTGTAACTTTTTCGTAAAAACAATGTTTTTTGACCGATGTAGCAGACTGTTGGCAGTACTCCGCTTGTGAGAAATTGGGCTGTTGCTCTCATAGTGTAGAGTTACTTTAAAATCTGTTTTTTTGCGGTAAACGGGCACGTGTAATGTTCCGTCGGTCTTTTGCTTTACGAAAACATGCAGAAATGCAAGTCAACTATTAACTTTATTTTTGGCATGAATTCGATTCCCGGAGTGGTTATGCTAATGCCGTTGTGGAGAATTTCCAGCTGACCCCTTTTATTGACAATAACTCTATTGAGGAATGAAAACCGATCGCCGTATGGACAGCTTTATTCGCCTGACGTTTCGGATTCCTGTTCGAACCCTTAATCAGAGACAGAAGCAGATACGGATGGTTCATGCACAAGGGATTTTAGTGCTTATAGGATGCAGTCGCCACGCTACCCATACCTATGAACATTCACGGCCAACATGCAGTGGTTTTGGGAACAATGTCCACCTGTGCGCCCCCGTGTGGCTTATTACTCCGCCTAGATGATGTCTCAGCACCGAGTATGCAAGGGAAGTTATTTGCACTTGTTAATGGACTGGCCTCGGCGAGTTATGATTTTAGCAGCACAGGGCTTATGCGCTTGTCACCTCTAGTGAGAATTGTAGCCTCATTGAATTTGAATGCGTGGCTGGATCTCGTCGAATGAGCCGCAACCTGAGAGCTGGGGTCATTTATACGCACTGCTGCCGCGTATTCGACCAATCGCTTTCAGAGCATCTTCCGGTTTCTCCGACGCAGTTTCTTTGTCTGCGACCGCGCCAGATCCGATAAACAAACGTCGACGTTTCTTGGCGTGGTTGTGGGTCTTTTGGTTACATTACCTGACGCCTGATGGCTGCCTCAGGTCTGCGTGCAAATCCAGACCCAAGTGATGTGAGAAGGTGACCGATAGCCTCCAAAACGTTCTTCATATCCGGAAGCCATCCTGAGCATTTGCTTTCCGTTCGGTATGGTCGTTCGTCGTGTTTTGCATATGCGTCGGTTGATAAAGTTCAGTTAGTAGCCATTGTCTTTGAAAATCAATTGAAATTACAGTAGTTCGCCAATTTCGTCTATTGGCTCACTGCAGTACGTTATAGCACGTCGATAGAGCCTGCTTAGATAACTGAGATTGTGGCTGATTGTGTGGTTGCTTTTGAAGTTCAGCACTTACATCGTATTTTACGCTCACCTGAATGCTTTGGTCTTTAGGACACTACAAATTTACCGGCATACGAGAACATCTAGGAATGCCAGCTTGCCGTTCTCTTTCTCCGCCATCGCAAATTGTATTTCCGGGGAGATGACGGCATTCAGATGTTCCTTGAAAGTCAGCAGTCGATCCCGGTCGATAACGACGAAGTTATAATTCAAAACCGGCCCCAGTAGTTGGTTCTGTGTTGTTGGAAGACCAGTGCCTTGGCAATAAATTTCAAAGTCGGTGAACATATTGGTATGCCCTTAACTTGCTCGTTGATTTTCCCGTCAAAAGAAAGGAAGTCTTAAGTTAAAACCCAAGGTACTGAAGAAAATTGGCGTGTCCAAGACGATTTTACTTTTTACTGTATTTGCAACAATGTCCTATAAAATAGGGGAGAGCCGAGAACTTTCATAGGTATGCGATAGCATGGCGACTACATCCTAAAATACTGCAGCCCATTGCGCATGAACCACTGGGATCTGCGTTCAAGCATAAATGCGAAACGTCAAGCGAATAAAGCTCGTTTCCCATAGATCGTGCTACTTTCTTCAGGATTGATTTCTGGTACTCATCTATTCGCTTATATTGTCATAAAATGCGTTGTCTGCGTATTGTATCTACAACCTAGGCTTAATTAGTGAAAAAGCTTGGCCTAACTGCACTAGTAGGTCAAAGAAATAGATATCAGCCTTTAAAATTGTCGCAATAACTGAATTCCAGAGCCGCATCTATTTCCATGTCCTAACCATAAAGGGAACCTTAATCCCGACCAACACCCTAAACACACTTAGAATTTACCGTAGTATAGTCAGTAATTCTGCGGAGTACTCATTCAGGTGTCCTTTCCAACACTTTATACCCGAACACTATCCTTGCATTTCCATACAGCGCAACCGTAGCAACTCGAAAATGCGCAAAATAAACTTAAATGCTTGTATGCATACCACTGTGTACGAATATTGAATATTCGGAGCAACATCTCCTCTGCCATTTTTATGAAAGTAGTAGAAATCGACAGAGCAAGTTGCTTTACCGTAACAAATGATTGCTGTCGTGGCTTAGTGAGGATTTGTGGTTGCGGGTAATTCAGGAGTCCTTTCTTGCTAGCCAATGTTAAAGTACCTTCATGCCATAGCTAAAAGAAGATGCGTAATTGGGAAGACAACGCGATGCTTAGAAGTTGTCTGCTTAAATTTGGCAAGCGCGTTATTTTCCTCAAAATTATCTGCAGTGTATTACTCAGTTAGCATTGGGAAATAAAAGCTCAAAGTATGCACGTTGATTTGTGTTCGAATGGGGAATTGATGTGGAATCTAAATATAGATTGTTCAGTTCAAACTTGTTGCATTAGTAGATTGGTTACTAGGATTAGCGGAGGTTTCTAAGATGCGTTTTGGAAGGGTCAGTGGGAGGACGCATATTTCTGGACATTCCAGTCGGATGGTATTTTTTCACGATACATTCTAAATTTTGTACCTTCGGGTCATGTAAGCAAGTTTCATATGCCTCCCGGAGTTATTACGGTGAGCTATCATTGGAGGATGTTTCATCAATCAGATTACTGAACATGCTCTTCCAGTTGCGATTTGAGGCTCATTACAGAGCCCCATCTGGTGGTCACCTTGCGACCCGATATTAAAAGGAGGAGTGCGAATAAAAGAAAAACCCGCTGTTAAGCTGTACTCAAGCGTAGTCTTGTATAATCTGAGATTTGACGCGAAACGGTTGTTTTGTCTAGCGTGAGGTCCGTTGCTCTTTCATTTAACTCGAAAGCCATTTTTTAGTTGACTGCGATCAGTAATGCTCTGAACTGTTCGACGAAAGACTCCACACTATATGCTTAGCAGCAGCAAATACCGTACTTCCCGGCAAAGGTACTAGCTAAGTGTCAAAATAAATATTCCGTCGATATTCTGCAGCTACATGACACAGACCTAAGGGCTTCGACTTCTCAATAGGTCACCCGGCGTTCGCCGTGTGTGTTTAACTGCGGTTTCGCAATTACAATTTTTTTACTTTGCCAAAAATTAATTACTAACATGGATTAGTTAAGCTCGCTTGATGCGTATAGGCTCGGAAACAATTTGGTATAATGAACTGATGGCTAATGTCTAACGGACGTCGGCTCAAATATTCCTGCTAACTTTCAGTATGAGCCTATATGTCTTAGATAACCTTATAAATTTAAAGTGTAGTCTAAATTTCT